CCATTTTTAGTCTTCAAAAGAATTTATTCCACTCTAGTCAAATAATATTGTAACATGATCCTCTGAACTTATGTAAATAATTGCTTTTATAAATATCTGTGGTTGCAAACTGACCCCAAGGGGAATCTTTTTTTTTTCTTACCAGGATGATGAACGTTTTATTAAAAATACAAGGGGAATCTTTGAAGCTCATCTGCTTCAAAGTCAGTTTGCTAAATATATATATCGATATTACCTTAAGTGATTATACTAAGTAAATCCTAGATTTTACTAACAGCAAAATAAAATATTGACCTCACTAAAATGATGAGAGTAAGGAGAGGCTAAGACATCAGGAAAGAGGCTGGAAAATGTCTGTTACATGTCTTGGGCTTAAGGCAAAATATAGGATATAGGAAGAAGAAAGATGTATTAAGTGCTTTTTCCTTCAGATCACTTGCAATCTAAGTAGGTTGAAAGAAAAGACAGAAGAGTGAGAAGTGTTTAATAACAATGCAAGAGATAAATATCAATTGACCACATTATATAATATGTCACATGCCAGTTCAGGATTGATTGCTAAGTAAATAGAATGTTATTGGTTATCCAGGTTCCTAATACATTTTTAGTGATGTATTACTTCTGAGTTATCTGGGATTGGTGAATTTCGTTTTACTTTTAATGGAGATTTACTAGCCTGATCCAATTTTACAGAATCTTATGTCTGTGGGGTTGAGTTTAAGTCATTGGCTCTAAAACAGGAAAATCTATATTCTAAATTTGGTTATTGAAAAAAATAATTCATATTTATAGTACTTACTTTGTGTCAGGTACTATAGGAAGCATTTTACATTACTCATTTAATATGTATAACAAACCTATAGGTAGATTGTTTCTCTCATTCTACAGATGAGGAATCTGAGGCACAGAGAAGTTAAGGTTGTTAGTAAAGGTAATACAGAAAGTAGTAGTGACAGGATATAATCCCAGTTCTGTTAGACTCTAGGGCCCAAAAGTATTAAAGAAAATAAACATATAGAAAAGACCAGATCTGAGAATACAGTATTTATGGTTAAGTGGAAGGAGCACTTGGTTTTCAATAATATATTAGACATATTTTTTTTTCTTTTTTTTTTTTTTTTGTGGTATGCGGGCCTCTCACTGTTGTGGCCTCTCCTGTCGCGGAGCACAGGCCACCGCCTTGGATGGGACCAAGGGTCTGCATTTCCCGGACCAACACTCACACTACTAAATACTATTGGAGAAAAATCTTATAAGCACACAGAGTTGTCTCCATAAGTGTAAGTCCGCAAACCTCAAGGGGGCCCTAAATACTGCCGGGGAAGCCCACTTTTCAGGGATCTTTCTTTTTTTCTTTTTGCGGTACACAGGCCTCACACTGTTGTGGCCTCTCCCGTTGCAGAGCACAGGCTCCGGACACGCAAGCTCAGCGGCCATGGCTCATGGGCCTAGCCGCTCCACGGCATGTGGGATCTTCCCGGACCGGGGCACAAACCTGTGTCCCCTGCATTGGCAGGCGGACTCTCAACCACTGTGCCACCAGGGAAGCCCTCCCATGATAAATTTTGTGCCATTTTCCAGAAATTAGTTTAATTCCAATGAGGCTAAATCCTCTTTTATCAATATTATCAAACAGTAAAATCTGGTTTTCTTTCAGCAAGTGAAAAGGAACTTCCAGAACAAAGGTTATACTTGTAATGTTATTATCATCTTTATCCAGAATGGTTGCTTTATTTCCAGTTGTTCAGGCAGCTATTTATAGTTTATTAGGGACTCCAGAGTATAAATGATTTGAAGATTAATAGATTCAAATTGTGTGTAAAAAGGATTCCTTTTAACATGCTTTTGGTAACATTAATAAAAACCATTTTGGAATCACGTTTTTTTGTCTTTCTGATCCCTGACATAGAAGTATTCAGATATTTTTAAAGGCATAATGTTTATATTGCTGTTTACTTTTATAAATATCACTTCAGAATTGGCAATAAATGGCAAAATTGCATATTCTAATACAGTTCTGGTATCAGCCTGAGTATTGAAAATAAAACCTTATACTTAAATATAAGCCCCCATTTAAATGGGCCATAATTCTTCACCTTTACATTTGGAACTACTTTTCATGTTGGTGATTATCATCCAAAGAATAAAGAGATTGATTTCCTATTTTAAGATTGAAATATATATATAATTTATACCATTATCGGGACTTCCCTGGTGGCACAGTGGTTAAGAATCCGCCTGCCAATGCAGGGGACACAGGTTCGATCCCTGGTCCGGGAAGATCCCACGTGCCGTGGAGCAACTAAGCCCATGCACCACAACTGCTGAGCCCACATACCACAACTACTGAAGCCCGGGCGCCAGAGCCCATGCTCTGCAACAAGTGAAGCCACTGCAATGAGAAGGCCGCGCACCACAATGAAGAGTAGCCCCGGCTTGCTGCAACTACAGAAAGCCCGCACACAGCAACGAAGACCCAATGCAGTCAAATATATATATATATAGACATATATATATACGTATATATATATATACTATTATCTACATATAATATTGAACTATTATTTATGTATATATGATATATACGTATGTTATTTATTATAATAAATAAATTATTATAGAGAGATGGTGATTGCTTCATATTTCTTTTTGTAGTTTATCATAGCAAAGCTGAAATTTTTGGAGAGCAAACATGGCATATCCAAGGATATTATGTGGTTTTATTTTAAGCTTTCAGTAGTGGTGTGTTTCATTCAGCCTATAACAGTAAAAATAAATGAGTAATAGATGACTAGTATGTTTTGTCTGCTATAGTAATGTCTTCTATCATTGAATCTGTCTAACCAGCCAGTTACTTTACTGTTGTCTGAAATAAAGATCATTGTGTTTTCTGACAATGTAGGAATTTCTGTTCAGTTAAAATATATGTTGTCATTGAAGTAAAAATAATGAAATTGCAAGAAATTGATTGATTTTAGCTGTACTCCTCAACTCCTCTCCCCCAAAGTGAAATCCAGATCATTTTAAAGTTCTTATAAAATAGCTGGAATTTCATTAAAATATTAAAACTCAGCCTTGATAGTTTTTAGTACAGGTGCTTAGCCTCTAAATTTTGACCTGAAACATAAACGGTAGTGGTAGCATGTCCAGTCATTCACGTTGATAACCAGCCTCCACGATGGCCCCCAGTGGTCCTCCCTCCTGATATTCACACCCTTAAGTAGTCCCCCCTACCCACCCACATTTACCAGGGTTGGTCTGTGTGATTGCTAGAATACACCAGAAATGATGGTAAGTCACTTCTGAGATTAGGTTACAAGACAGTGGGACTTCCATCTGGATGTGTCTATGTATGTCTGTCTCTCACTCTCTCACATCACTTGCTCTGTTGGAAGCCAGTACGTGCAAGGAACCAAGGCCTAGCCCAACAACTAAGCTTGGAAATGGATCCTCCAGCCGTAGTCGTGCCTTCAGGTGGCTGCATCCTTGGCCAGCAGCTTGACTGCAACCTCATGAGACACTGAGCCAGAAGCACCCAGCTCAGCCCTCAGCCCCTCCCAGATTCCTGACCCTCAGAAACTATATGAGATAAAAAATGTTTACTAAGCATTTAAATTTGGGAGTAATTTGTTATGCAGGAATAGAAAACCAATGCACACCTCCACTAAAGCTCTTCTTTCATTGGTCAAATCTTAACATCTATTTTTAGTTATTGTTGTTATTATTTGTGCTGTTAAATGTGTAAATACGTACAATTCACCTGACTGAAGCATTAAGTTGGATGGAAAATACTATGTTCCATCTCCCATTTTCCAATCCAGTGTTTGGTATAATAAATACAGAATTCACTTTTCCCATATTCGGGTCCCATATAAGAATGTACTTAAAATAATTGTTTTGTGAGAAGGAGCCTTTTTTAAGATTATTCTGCAGATTCTTTTCATTTATGTGTGAAGCTACCAATTTTGTATAACTTGTAATTACTATGCAAGTGATTATGGAATTACTGTGAAATACTTCAAGAGAAAACAGACAGCTTAACAACTATTCTCAGAGAAGTCTGAGGCCTCACCAAAGAAGCTCCTCATCCATTACTTGTAACTCTGTGATGCTTATTCTACAGGACAATAACAGTGTGGGTTTTAAAAAGTCATATTTTTAAGGATTAGTTGACTATATACTCAAACCTGAGAGAGAGAGCTTCTTAGCAGATGCAGCTTCTTAGCATCATCAAGATCATGTATTGTACTCCCAGCTCTGCTTTCCCATCCCACTTTCTCTATGGTGTTCTGAAAAGGAAAGGTCATAAAAATACTCAGGTTCACTTTTTCCTTTTTGCCCTACTAAACCAATTTTAGTATCAATAATTGTTTCTTTTCCATAGCTAATCATACAGAAACAGTAATCATGAATAAAAGATGTGACAGAAAAGTGGAATTTCAACTTCTTAAAGAGTTTTTTTTTTTCTCTTGCTTCCTTTGTCTGTGTTTTTCTAAAGGAGGATTTGCCTTAGGACATTAATAGCTACAAATAGATACTTTCAGTGAATCCTGGGTTATCAGTCTCATGTTTTTATACCTGAACTTAAAGAAACAGATGTTCTTAATGAAAAGAAAACATTGATGAGTCCCATGTTCTTTGACATTAATGCTCTTAAATATGTAACTAAAAATTAGCTTTTTTGTCTATTCTTGCCATGATTCTTACAAACAATAATAAAAATAGCCAATTTTGGAATTGGTCTTGTCTTCCTCCATCCTAAATAGACAAGATTATTTTGAAATTTTACTGAAAATTTCCTTTTAATTTGGACCTAAAAAAAATAGGATTCTGTCTTTCAAATCCCTCCCCCCTTCAATTCACATGCTCACATGTGCACACCCACACACACACGCACACTTGTAATAAGGTTAGGAGGATGGTTATCAGTAACTTAAAGGAACAAATGAATTTCACTCTTCAAATATTTAGTATACAAATGTTATCCAAATACTCCAATAATGTCATCACTTAAGACAGTTGTAGTCCAGCCAGAAGTAAAACCACCAGGGCTTCTAACTCTGCTTTGAACATCTGCCAACTGATATCAACACAAATATGTAACACAAGGCTAATTCCTGAGTCTTGAACTTGGACAGTCTCTAATGAAGAAGGAGGCATCAAATTTTCAGCACTGAAACATGTCAGAGAAACCCCATGTTTGCTTTATTTTCTTGAGGGTTTTTGTTTTTTAAGCATGGTCACTGAATTGTGTATTATTCTTTTCAAATGGGTTCCCATTTGTGGGTGGTGGTAGCTCCTGATGAAATAATTTTTAAAACTTGAGAAATAACAGTAATTTTCATAACTGGATTTCATTTGAAAGCTTAAATTATATAGTACTTTGCTATGATTTTTAAGAAAGTTTCCTCAACCCTCTATTAACACTTCATTTTTTTTTTTGTAAAATGTCTCAGGAAACATTTAAATGTCTGTTTAGTAAAGTAATTGTTAATTTCACTCTGTTCACCTGCACGTAATATATGATGCTTATATGAAATAGTACTTCAAGTCTTTCCTAGCAGATATAAGAGGGAAGCCTAAGAATCTCCTTTCACTCCCTTCCTGATCATTTGACCTGACTTGGAGCCCAGGCCCAAAGCCGCAGGCCAGACTCCAAGCACCAGCCCACATTCCCTGCTCAAGTTCCTTTTCATCCCCAAAGCTCACCAAGCCCTGAAGGGAACAGAAAGGAGGATGGAAGACAGCTGAACAGAGGTTAGAAGAGGGGGGTGGAATTTGGCAGCAGGTAGAAGGACTTTGTCTGCACCTCTAGTGGTGAGTGCCTCCACCCTCTTGACCAGCCAAAAATTGAGTGAAGTTCTATGCAGACAAATCACAAACAGTCCTCGATTATAATGTAAAAATATCTTTAGTGTCCTTTACTTATCTACAGCCAGCTGGTTAGGTCTCTAAACATATAAACTCTTAAAGGTATTATGCTTACCGTATTTTAGAAATGTAAATGCCTTAACACAGAAAAGATAAGATATACCTGTTGGTAATAGAAGCATTCATAAGCTGAGGCAGTAAGTGTGGTGATTAAGGTCACAGACTCTAGAGCCAGGCTGCCTGGGTTTAAATCCCAATTCTGACAGCTTGCTAGATGAGTAACCTGAAACAAGTCACTTGACCTCTCCATAGTAATTTTCTCATCTGCAAAATGGAGATGATAGCACTACCTTATAGGGTTGTAAAATTTAAATAACCTGAACCTAAACACTTAGATCAATGTCTAACTGGTACTTAGCCTTACATAAGTATTTGTTCCCATTCATATGCTATGCCCCTTTTCTGATGTTGTTTCTATACTTAGATGACCCTGTCTGATTTGTAGTTAAAAGGTTACTTCATACTCACACCACTACCTTTGATGTCTAACTACTAGCAGATCCCCTCCTCAGCAGTATTTGAAAGCAAAATGCTTATTTTCCTTTCTTTCCCAGGCCCAACACAGAGATACTTTCATTGAAGAACGCTATGGAAAATATAACATCAGTGATCCTTTAATGGCACTCCAGAGAGACTTTGAAACACTGAAGGAGAAGAACGATGGCGAGAAGCAGCCAGTCTGCACAGACCCGCTCTCGATCCTTAAGGTGGTGATGAAGCAGTGCAAGAACATGCAGGAGCGCATGCTGTCGCAGCTGGCTGCCGCTGAGAGCAGGCACCGCAAGGTGGGTTCACCGCTGACGTGCGCCTGCAAACTGCTGAAATGGCTGACACTTTCTTGTCAGCTGCCAGCTCTCACAGTAACTTAACTGGGAGGTCTCACAGATGTAAAAAAGCCCCTGAGCTTACCTAAGAGCCAGGAGATAGAAAATGCAGGTTATTCCAAATGTTAAATTTAGGCAGTATGCCAGACGCATTATTTCAGATGGCATTTATTCTTGATACGACACTCCAAAACACTTGGTATGTTTTTTCAACTCTTGGTCATCCAAACTTTGGCAACAAACTGGGGCTTGACCAAGCCTTGTAGCTGAACGGAGTGTTCCCTATTTGCTTACTTAAGTGATAAATAGAAAGATTAACAGGTATTTGGGGAATGCTATATCAGAGAGAGAGAGAAAGAATCAGAGAATTTACCTGACTATAAACATACAAGCCAATAGATTATTTTCTTTTATTTCCAGTTTTGAGTTTCACCGCATTTTACTTCTCATGAAACCATAAACAGTCCCTAGGGTTGTTTACCTTAAAGCTGTTCTACCCTGTTAGGAAAATGTGTGTGTGTGTGTGTGTGCGCGCACACCTGCTAGGTCTTACAGCCCCTGAGATAGGAAGACAAACCTGTGCTTTCCTCTACCTCATCTCCTTGGAATTCTTCTAGTGCTTGTGATTTCATTCCCCGACTTATCATTTATGGCTCAGATTTGGCCTGGAAAAAATGCTTGGCTAGAGTCTGCATTTTTAAGAACTATTGGTTTAGATTTATATCAACAAGGAGGGACATCAGTGCATTTAGTAGGAAGCATTTTATTCTGAAAAAATTGGGTTAGCAGCTGCAGTTTGATGGACCTTCGTTTACTTTTATGGTTACCTGCTTTAGAGAGCCATCTGCTTAAAATGCATCTGACAAAGTGCTTAAGGGCTTAGGTCTTGCCCATGATTTTTCTTTCCCTTCACAGAGTCCAAACAAAAGGCCAGAGTGGGAGTTCTTAACCACGAATGGGTCTCAGATGTTCCATGATCCCCCAGAAAATATACAGAGTGCTAAAAGTTTATGCATTTTGTAGAAAATGATTTTTTTTCCCATATCCTTACTTGAATTCTCAGAGTTCTCCAAGACCCAGAAAAGTTTAACCTCTGGACTAGACTGAAGTAATCTGAAGACATTTATGCCCCAATTTAAAAGGTGTCAGTGAGATTGAGGTAGTTGCCTAAATTTGCGGGCTTTTACATAATATTATGAGAAAATCTTCACAACATCCTTGTTTGATAGGCAGGCCTGTTTTCTATTTCATACATGAAGTAACTGAGTTGTACTGAAGGGCTGGCTGGCTGTCATGCCCGTTGAAGGTGTAGTGTTGGGATAATTTATGGTTCTAGGTGATTGGGGAGAGGAAGAGTTAAAAAATTCAAAATTCCCTAACACTGTATTTCAATGTAAGATAGTATTAAATATTTTAAAACAGCTGCCTATCTGATCTTAAGTGTTTTATCAGAGTAGAACACTGACTTTGTTAGACATCAAACTAGAGGCTTATAATTAGGGTGCATATAGTCCCAGTTTGCCTGAGAGAATTCCAGTTTAAGCCTGTTGCCTTGGCATAGTTGTTAACAATACCCGCTTTGGCTCTCAGACATGTTAGTGGTTTGAACAGTCAATTATGTGGTTACTCTGCTTATTATGAAAAATAGGGTTCCCTAGTCCACCCCTTCCCATTCTCTCTCCTCCTCAGTATTAGAGACAACCACTTTTTTCTTTTAACTGTTTATTTTGGCAGCTAACTTCCATATTTCTAACTGATATACTGCTCTCTCTTGCTTTATCAATGTTAGACACATATTTACTTTCTTTTATTATAGATGTGGATTTCATTATCATACACCCCACCTCCCTTCTCTCCACCCCTGCCATCTTCCCAAAACAAACATAATACCCTTTCCTCACCCTCATTCTCTGTCATATCTGTTATTACTAGATCTGGAGGCTGTCACATTCTGTTTCTTCAGAGGATAAACATCTGGTGTATTCCCGGGCAGTAGATGCCTGGCTGAGCATTCTGTGTACAGGAATCAGGTTGCGGGGGCGAATAACTCTTCTGAAAATACAGACTTGGAGCCAGTGCCCTTGTCTTCCCTCCTACATCTCACCTCTCCGATGCAGTATCTGCCAGGACCTGCAGGTTCCATATGTCCTTGGGGTCCTGCAGCGCACAGCAGCTTCCTCCCCCATACCAAAGTAGTTACCACTCCTCCAGCCACTTTCTTTCTTGAAAATGTTATTAAAATTTCTTGTCTGCCAAAGTCTCTCTTTTTGACTTTGTGGGTTTTTATTCTTTTCATCCCATTTCTATCATTTTAGACAGCTCTCCGAAGGGAGAGAAGATGATCTACCACCTTTAGCCAAAAGCTGTTCTTTCTGTTAAGTTGCAAAAGTTTTCTTTTTTTTTAACCAGAAGGAAATACACCAAAATGTTTTCATTTTTGTATTTAAAAAGGAGTCCCAGAAAGTTTTCTCTCTCCTTTAATAACAGTTGTTAGTAAGGAGAAACAATAGGAAATGGCCATTGGGATGACAGTGCTCTGGCCTAGGGAGGTCTAGGCTAAGGCACCTCTGAAGCATGAGCAGAAGCTACGAAGAAATCCTTAGCCATTGGAATATTATGCAGTTGTAGGCAGGATTATGTGGGAAATGTCCCTTTAAATTTGTATTCTTAAAATTGGGCTTAATCCCTTGGCACAAGGATAAGTGGAATGGGGTAGGCAGGTTAATTAAAAAGCCTTGTGGGGCATCCCTGGTGGCGCAGTGGTTGAGAGTCCGCCTGCCAATGCAAGGGACACGCCGTTCATGCCCCGGTCCGGGAAGATCCCACATGCCACGGAGTGGCTGGGCCGGTAAACCATGGCCGCTGGGCCTGCGCGTCCAGAGCCTGTGCTCCGCAACGGGAGAGGCCACAACAGTGAGAGGCCCGCGTACCGCGCAAAAAAAAAAAAAAAACAAAGCCTTGTGAAAAATCTCCACTTAAGATCTCAATAACTGAGCCTTTTCATATGCAGGATAAAGTCAAGAGAGTCTTTTCACCTCTTATCTACTGTACACGAAATGCATATATTAATTAAGCAAGGCACAGTTAGGATGTCACCTATTTGAAATGTTTAATTTTAGGCTTCACTCTCTGGTACCTCCAGTGATTTGAACATCAAGGGAGAGCCTCAGCTTTCAGCTTTCCATGGTCCTGCCTTGCTTCATCACCTACACCTGTCCCCTAGTCCCACCAAACTTTTATTAATTCTCTGAAACCTTCTGAGCCCCTACAGCTAATGAGTTGCTCTCTTCTATTTACATGCCACTTCGTGTTACCTCGGATAAGTATGCACTGTATTGTTTCGTAGCACATAGCTTGCATATCTTTCACTCTTCTAGACAGTGTGCTCCTTGATGGCCCTGACTGGGATTTTACTTATTTATTTATCTATGGAATGACCTTGGGTGCTTAGAAAGACACTTAGTATTTAATTGTATTCTAAGTGTGACTCCTTGATATTTGAAAATGATTTTTTTTTTTTTAATTCCTTAAAGGTAATCCTAGACCTTGAGGAAGAAAGGCAAAGGCATGCACAGGACACAGCTGAAGGAGATGATGTCACCTACATGCTGGAGAAGGAGAGAGAGCGGCTGACTCAACAGGTAATTAAGGTGGAGGGGCTCAGGCAGCATTTGCCTAGAGTAGCATTTCTTGAAGATTATTCTGCAGGGTGTAGATTGGTGTTGCTCAAAAAAAGGGGGCTTTGTGGTCAAATAAGTCTGGGAATTACTGGATTAAACAAAGTTAAAGAGGTTCCTAACTTCAATTTGTTAGACCCTTTAGTATGCAGAAGCACGCTGTGAGTCTTCAAGAACAAGATAGGGTATTCTGTGTTTAGCAAATTTATGTTTTCATAAAATCTTTTAATGTAGATCATTCACTATGGGACTGTCGTTCCATAGAACACACTTTGGGGAACACTAACTTTGAACTCTCCAAATTTTTTTGACTTAGGACTCCTAGTAAGAAATACATTTTACATCACAACCCAGTATATATACACGTATATACATATGCCTGGAACAAAAATCTCATGAAATCATACATAACCCTTACTGCTTATAATACACATTGATATTTTCGCTTCTATTTTTTTTTTTTTGTTTCTGATCACGGCTCACTAAATGGTTTTGCCATCCATGAATGAGTCTCAGAGTTTGAAAAACACTGACTTAAAAGGGTTCCTTCAACCCTTTCCCTCTCACTCTGTGCCTTAAATAGGGTTGGGATGATGATTAAAGCAGATGGCATTTGTATAAGAAGAATGATTCAAATGCAACTACTTAACGTTTGTTTGTTTTTAAGACCAGAAAGAGTTATTACTGAAGCTTTAAAAGTTTTCAGCAGCATTCATCACAAAATCTAGTTGATATGGCTTTCTGCTGTTTTGATTGGCTCTAATCCCCTGAACTTTCCATAACATAAAACACAATGATGATTCAGATTCCCACTAATAACCCTGAGACAGTAAGAACTAGAAGTGCCTCCTAAATCATCAAAGAAAGATTAAGTTGTAGTGTGTACATTTTTACGTTAGGTGTTCTGATACTTAAATATTTGATGTAAGCACATGGCATACCTGGTAATCCCATGTGCCAGAGCACAGCTAGCTTGATACACTCTACTTGATAACAGTTTTTCAGTATCCTTTTCTTTCCTTACTCTAATCAAGACGTGTGGTGGCATTTTTTTTGTAGTTGGAATTTGAAAAGTCGCAAGTGAAAAAGTTTGAGAAAGAGCAGAAGAAGCTCTCCAGTCAGCTGGCAGAGGAGCGCTCCCGCCACAAGCAGCTCTCGTCCATGCTGGTGCGCGAGTGCAAGAAGGCCGCCAGCAAGGCCGCTGAGGAGGGCCAGAAGGCGGGAGAGCTGAGCCTGAAACTGGAGAAGGAGAAGAGCCGGGTGAGCAAGCTGGAGGAGGAGCTGGCTGCTGAGAGGAAGCGGGGCTTGCAGACGGAGGCCCAGGTGGAGAAGCAGTTGTCTGAGTTTGACATTGAAAGGGAACAGCTGAGAGCAAAGCTGAACCGAGAAGAGAACCGGACCAGAACTCTGAAAGAAGAGATGGAGGGTTTGAAGAAGATAGTGAAGGACCTAGAGGCTTTGCACCAGCAGAGTAGCCCCAGCGAGCAAGTGAAGAAACCAGTAACCCTGTCTAAAGGCACGGCAACTGAGCCACCTGTGCTAGTGTCCGTATTTTGCCAAACGGAGAGTTTTCAGGCAGAAAGAACCCATGGGAGCAGCACGGCCAAGGTAACAGCCTCAGGGCTGCCTGGTCCCACCACTCCTGCTTACTCTTATGCAAAAACCAATGGGCATTTTGACCCAGAAATGCAAACTACCAAAGAGCTGATTACAGGCAGCAGTGTAGAAAACCAAGCGCCTCCACGAGAGAAGCCTGTGGGATTGGCCCAAGAGAAAGCAGTAGAGAATGGTGGGTGTCCTGTGGGAATAGAGACTCCAGTCCCAGCGCCTGGTCACCTCCCTTCCAGTGGGAGCTCACTGTCTCCCAGCAGCACTGCCTCTTCCTCTCTCACATCCTCTCCTTGCTCTTCACCAGTACTAACTAAGCGCTTATTGGGGTCATCAGCTAGCAGCCCTGGCTACCAGTCATCCTACCAAGTAGGGATCAACCAGCGGTTCCATGCAGCTCGGCACAAATTTCAGTCCCAAGCAGATCAGGACCAACAAGCTAGTGGTCTACAGAGCCCTCCATCCAGGGATCTATCCCCAACCCTCATAGACAACTCTGCCGCCAAGCAGCTGGCCCGAAACACAGTCACCCAGGTGCTCTCCAGATTCACTAGCCAGCAAGGACCAATCAAGCCCGTGTCTCCCAACAGCTCTCCCTTTGGCACTGACTATCGAAATCTGGCCAACACTGCCAGCCCGAGAGGTGACACCAGCCATTCACCTACTCCAGGGAAAGTGTCTAGTCCTCTGAGCCCCCTGTCTCCAGGGATCAAGTCCCCTACCATCCCCAGAGCTGAGAGAGGAAACCCTCCACCCATCCCACCCAAGAAACCTGGCCTCACTCCTTCTCCATCTGCTGCCACTCCACTGACCAAACCTCATCCCCAGGCATCCTCTTTGACCACCACAGAAGACCTTGCCAGCAGCTGCTCTTCTAATGCTGTCGTAGCCAATGGCAAGGACGTTGAGATACTTTTGCCTACCAGTAGCTAGTCCCTAGGAGGGAGTCTCCACATTTGACATTCCATCAGATTTCATCCAAGAGCTCAGAGTCAAACCATTGAGTCAGATCATGTTATTTATTTTGATAGTAGCTGAAACTATCTGTATAATACATTTAGTGTATTTCACCTTTTTGTATTTTTTAGGTAGAAACTAAGTAGTTTGGATTTTTATGATTCACATCTTTGTGCTAAAGCTAGAAGGGCACCTCAAAGATGTCTAAGCTTTGCAGTCACCATCGTGTTATGATGGAGAAAGCTAATTGAGTACCAGGTGGTGATTTCCTGTCTATCTGGGGACTAGAATCACTCAACACTCATTTTGAATTATGTGGAAGTGGCTCATGCAGACTTTTTATTCCAGATGAACATGTTTTAAAAGTGCCTGAAATTAGACTGCCATATGAATGTGATTCTGCAGCAGTAACACAAAATGGATCATTTAACTGCAAAAAATGAGATCCTCTGTGAATTCTGAATGTTAAAAACCAACACTGCTTTTAATCCTCTTTTACTGTTTTTTAATACAATCTTTGTGTTGAGAAACAAGGCTGCATAAGTAGAATGGGAATCCTAAAGGTGGGTGTGAACTCACCACAAAGCTGAGCTTTATAGAGCCCTTGAGAAACCCTCCTGAACATTAAGCAGTTGGGGTGCTGATTTTCTTGTACTTTTGGAAAATTACATCGCTCCCAGTTTCCTGCATAAGTTTTTGAATACAGTGAAATCACATATCCTTTAAAAATATCTTCAGGCATCTACTGTTGTGTAAGGAACTTCTGATTCCGATTGCTATTACTTGAATAGGAAATGGTTACTCATTCTGTATAAAAGTTTTGCAACAGAATGAGATCTTTATTCTGTAATGAAAAAGCAATAACTTAAAGTTCACTGTCTTTGTAATATTATAAGTCAGAATTATACAGGTTTTAGCAAATTGTTACACTTTTCTCCAAGCTGCCAGCACTCTGTGTCTATCTGTGGAACCAAGTTAACTTTTGCCTAAATGGAAGTATACATATATCTGTATAGATAAACACCCCTTTTACGTGTTTAACATACACACACTTAAACACATAAATGATAGCGTGATTATATCTTTGGAGTTTGCAATACAGCATAAAGGACGAGTAGAAATGCATGTTAAGATTACCTACCAAAACAACTAGATATAGCTGGGACCCAGTCAATCACAGGAGGACTCTTGTCCACCAGGAGGGGAAAATTTCAAATGAAATCAGGTCTTCAGCATCATAAGAAGACAAGGCCAAACCATCCCAGTGTCACAAAACTCAACTGGTCATATAAATGAGTGAAACAGGTCGGTCACTCAAGTGATGTATGACAGCTGGGAGCAGTGGGAGCTGTAGCAAACTGAAGTGCCCAAGCCCCGTTACAAAGGGCACCCCCTGTTCAGTTTCAGCTGCTTGTTGCCATGCAAGAATGCTAGACCCGGGGTACCAGCTCCTAAAATTTTTATGAAATCCAAATTTTCATGAGAAACATTCTCATTTTTAAATATTGAGAACTGATCCAGAAATATTTAAATACTGCTAGTTAAACACTTCTGCAGCTGGATTTAGCCCGCAAGCTGCCAAGCTGCAGCCTCTTTCATTCTAGAAACTTCGGTCATTTCCATCACAGCAAGTTTGTGAGGACAGAAGCCTCCAGACTTTCCAACCTGTTGGCTAGCACAGCCAACAAACTCCGCAGAGTATAATGACTATTCTCCTCTTCCAAACAAGACTGTCTGCAACCCAGCTCAGACATGGTGGGTACATGATTTTGTGTGCACAAGGATGAAGAGGCCTTGGTGTCCTCACATACATTTTTCTAGCCAACATCTATCCAGCAGCCACTGACGTGCTATAATTTAAATCTATTTCCTCTTAATCCAGCATGAGTTGATGGGGGAAAAGCAAGTGATGGAAATCAAGATAAATGACTATGGAGTATATTGGTGTCTGCACAGCTTATGGTTTGACTAAAGACAATACATCAAAAACTTAAAATACTATTAATGCCTCAGCGTGTCTACCAAATGATAAAGGGGTTATCTTAAACTTCCCAGAGCAATCATGCATTAAGTTTTATTCCCGTGCATAGCCACATGAACTGGATGATAAAATAGCTGAACTTTCTAAGCAGAAGAGGGGGCTATAATCCCAGAGTGTTATTACCTCTTGCTTTAAATGGTAATCTTACAAATTGCATTGTGCTCTTCTTTTGTTTTGGCATAGATATATATAGAGAGAGATACTATAAGGAAGTTTATTTCTTAGGAAGTGCACTGAATAATGTATGTATTTTACAGTGTAATATGGGGGTGGGGAAATGCAAAAGAAATGTGTATTTTTGCTAGTTGCCTATCTTCTGAGATAAATAAGCACAATACTGCAATGGATCCAATAATCCAGTTAGGTATTATAGATTAGTATTTAAGTTTGCCGTAGATTGTGTGCGTGCTAAGTAAAAGTTCTGTGATTCACAATTTTGGTCTTAACCCGTGTTGCAAAAGCTACGTTACTGGTCAACAGATTATAATGCTGTGCAATGCATAGCACAAGCATTAACTAGTCCTTAACATGTGTAAAGCCAAATGTACCGTGCAGAAGTCTTCACCTGTTTTTATAGCAGACTTCATTAAAACAAGTTAAATCCTACTGTCTGGGCAAAAAATAGTCTTGTTTGTACGAAATGAAGAATGTTGCACAACAGGGCCGATTTTGTTGGGGAAGGAGCAGATTGATGAAGAGGGAGCACTCACTCCTGGCTTTAAAAAAACAAAGGAAGTCAGTGACCCATCCAGGTTAGGCCCCAAAAGGAGCTGGGACATTGGTTTTCCTTAGAATCTTAGAGCTGGGAGAAGTCTTCACAATAATCCAGTCTGTAATTTTTAAACCACGTGGGGATTCTGGACCTTTTGAGAATCTAAAAACAGCTAGACTCTGTCCCCAGAAAAATGTATATGCTTATGTGCAAACTTTGGTTGATGGCTTCACGGTGTCCAGAGACCCTGACGCCACCCATGAATCACGTACTCTGAGAGCGCCTGATCTTGTCCAGCCCTCTCATTTTACCAATGACTAATGCATCTCTTGTCTCCTAGTCCAGTGCTGTTGCTGCTACACTGTTAGCAAGTGCTAGTGTAGCCAGACAAAAGCACTTGAAAATCCTTTGATGTACAAAAGATGTTCAAACAGTGTGGATGTTTACATATCTTAAGTTCCCAGCATTTAAGCCAATTAATGATCATTTCAACAAACACAGGGTATATCCATTTTTTCATAACAGCCTCACTTCAGCAATGCTGCCTTGTCAATTTGTGTGTGTGCGTGTGTGCGATTTATAAAGAGCGCTTCTGATGCTTAGCCCTTGAAACAGAACTTCAAATGTCTTTTGAGAAATGCTGCTTCAAAATAGTTTGTGTTTTCATAATGCGTCAGAGGTAGGCAATGAGCATTGTTTGTTCCACACGAGTAATTTTAATTTAATTGCTATAAAACTAGTTGAGAAAACTTGAGAGCCTGTCCACCCATCTGCTCACATATCAATGGCCAGTTCATTGGTGCCAGTAAAGGAGGAGAAAGGAGACTGGGGTAGTGATTCTTAAACTTTATTGTGCTTAAGGGAATCCTGCTAAAAATAAGGATTCCTGCGGATTGGGCCTAAGGGCCAGGTGATGCAGGTGATCTGAGGATCACATTTTGAGAAATAGTGCCTCATAGCCCATACCTGTTCTTTCACAAGAACTTACCTGCCTCTAACCTAAGGAGATGTCTTGAGCTCTAGAATCTGTTTTGCTAGAATGTCAATGATACTCGGAGTCAAGAGTGCCTACTTGGATTCCAAGCACCATGTTAATGATTCCACACACATATTCCCTTACTAATTTGCACAAGGTTGCTGTGAGGTGCGGTCATCCCCAGTGTGCACATGAGGGTAGTTGAAGACCAGAGATTTGTAGCAGAGACCTTAGTAAGTGACAGGGCCTGAATTGAAAACCCAGTACTTTGCTCTTTCCACTACCTGCTTCCCAAATGAGAATCTCCAGAGTCACTCATGACGCCAGTTCCAGGCCCTTCCCCCTGGAGATTCTGATGAGTAGACCAAGGTGGAGCTCAAGGTAAGTGCCTGGGCTGCTTCTTAGCATGAGGCAGGTTTAAACCTTGCAGGACATCATGCTAACTCCTCCACCACCCTAACCTAGAGACCTTTATCAGGTCAAGTAAATGGAACAAAAACAGAACATCTTAATTCCCCTCAAGCAACTCATGTTTCTTAGATATTTAAGATGAGACAGAAACCAAAGTAGCTACCGTAGAAAACCTCAAGGTACTCACACTCTGGTTGGGGGGTGCACAACACAGAAAGTTACCAGAGACAACTGAATAATGCAAGTGGGGTTTAAATGCCATACAGGGTCGTTAAAGGTGGTCCTAGCAAAAACATCTTTGTGGGCAGGAGAAAGTTAACTAGAAAAGCAAATGTCTTTTCTCCTCTCACCAAAGCATAACTTACCTGGAGTTCTGCACTATCTCCCTGTGTTTGCATTATGTTTCAGTTGGCTTGTCTTGGTCTTAGGATGAGGTCAGAGAGAGAGGCACAAGAGGGCCCCAAGAGCTGAGTCCGGGGCTTCCCTGGTGGCGCAGTGGTTGAGAGTCCGCCTGCCGATGCAGGGGACACAGGTTCATGCCCCGGTCTGGGAGGATCCCACATGCCGCGGAGCGGCTGGGCCTGTGAGCCATGGCCCCTGAGCCTGTGCATCCGGAGCCTGTGCTCCGCAACGGGAGAGGCTACAACAGTGAGAGGCCCGCGTA